GTCGTTGGTAGTTTTTACACAGGCAAATGTAAATGTTAAAGGTGTTTTTGTTATAGTTGTTTCAATCGTTTTCATTATTTTTGACCCTAGTGCAGTAACCATTACTGCTGTTATCTTGCATCTTATAATTATTGTATGCAAAGCCAATACATACGTTCTCCCTTCAATCAATTTATGAAGAATTGCAGTTTATGATGCTCATACTGCGTCGGAGATAGTGTATATAGCTCATAGGTAACATTATGGAAGTTGATCTCAAATCTGCCGAAATTTATGCTAAAAGACCTGCAGTTCTATTATTGGTGTGCTACATTTTAAATTCTACTGCTACATGACTAATGACGTAGTTATCGAATTTTTTCAAATTTAGACCAGGAACATGAGTGAAAATATTCCAACCCAAACGATCGACAAGTTTCGATGTTCTCATGAAAGGCAATAATGTTCGTCTGTATACGGGCTATGGATTGTTAATCCTAAGTATAAGCACTCGCTTTTTGTTGGTCCCAATTTACATGCAAAACACTGTTCGAAAATTTCTCAGTAAAAAAGACGATTTTCATTTTTCCAATAGACATATTCGCCTTTTATAGCCATCATCGGCCTCGGTTGACCTGAACTGGCAGCGCTCAGACGTAAAATCATGACACGCACCAACTAAAAGGTGAATAATTTATCCGTTTGCTACTTTCAAATAAGCCTGTTCCGTGTGAAAAGACTTGGCTGGACGTAGCCTTGAGATGATTTGCATCTCTTTGTGTTTCAACACTTCTCAGTGTACTGCATATGTGGCATTGACAATGGACGCGATTCACTTTTTACAAAGGTCTTCTTTCGATGAAAAAAAAATTTAATTTTGGTTTCTATTTACATTCACAATAATCATATCCTCATTAGGGTATTTGGTTTTGGTATCAAAGAAATGTTTAATTTGACATTAAATTACTCGTGTTAATTTATGCTGAAGGTGAGTAATAGACGTTTGCAATTTAACTTTCGCAGCCCGCCGAAGTATTCAAATTTGTTGAGAGGTATCCTAGATATTTACGACAATTAGGATTTAATTTTAAGGCGCTGGAAAATGCTTTGGCGCTGAAGTTTCGGATAGTGATCCAAAATTTGTTCGTGCAAACAGGCTTCGTTTTTCCCATTAAATCGGATTTCGGGCGATGCTATGGCATGAGGCTAATTTTTAATGGACATTCAATGAAAAGTTTAACGTACAAAAAGTACATCGAGTACGATAGATTCTACCACGTAATTGCTTTGGTTGAATTTTTGTGAGCTGACCTATTTTGTTTGTTGATGTACTAAAACTTTCTGATGAGTCGATTGAACAGCTTAAACTGGCACTGCACAACATCTAGCAGATAAATCTTGCAATTTGGAATAAATGATTCATTTAATACTCGCTTTCACTTGGACTCATCGTGTATCATTTAGTTGTTAAGTTCTCATTTTCTGACAATAATCGATTATTGACCGCACAACCTGAAAAATTTGACACGTGCTTTCCCTATCTTCAATTAAGCAATAAAATACCAGCCCAACGGCTTTCGTGAGAACTTTGCCTGAAGCTACTATATCATTCATGATGGGAACAACATTTAGATCATCCTTGAACAACATAACGAAATAAACCAACAGATCTTAAAAATCCACCGTCATGTCCAAAACCACCAATTCCTTTACTTGGAGCCTCGCGTACGACGACACAGAGCATTCAGACGGCGAATACGTACGAGGCGGAACTGCGACACGTCATCGCCTCGTTTAGGATATTTTTTTATCAGAAAAAGTTATGTAGCTTTGAAATCGTTTTTTACATTTACTGCATTTGTTGCAAATGATTGCATTTTTCTGACAAGCTACGGATCTCCGAACGTCATAGTTGGCATCACCGGGATTTGATTTTCGTTGAGCATTTGATTTCGTCCAAGCAGCCCAATTCTTTTCTGTTTTAAGTATAATTTTCGTCAAGAGAGAAAGTTCTCAAAAGTCAAAATGCTCGTGAGAAACCTTGATCGTAAAATTGTTGCCGAAGAATAATAAAAGTTAAATTTTTATTGGAATCCTTACATAACTCTTATAAGTCTTAACAAGTTTACGGAAGCTGTCAATAAACTCAACTGGTGCGTTTGCTAGATGGGTGCCGCCTTAGGAAGCCACAAGCGACCTCGGTTGACCAGAGTTGACTGCGCGCAACCGTTGAATCGCTACATAGAGCGTCGCGCTATGAGAGTTTATCATCCACTGTTGCTAATATCAACGGAGCTCGCAAGTCGTGAAAATCCTTGCCTTCAAGCAGCCTTGATGTGGTTTAGATGTAGGCGGGTTGAGCTATCATCATCTCATTCTCAGCAACACTGATTATTCTCATTTTTGACAGTGCCCAGGGTCTAATTTGTTGCTAGGAAAATGTTTAGAATATTAAAATTTCGTACTGACTTCCAATTTAACCAAGATAATTTTAAAAAATCCAATTCTGAAATTCTAACAAATAATTACACTTAAATTGTATGTGACAATGTGACCCGAGATTTCAAACGAATATTATTTTAGAATTTTTAAAATAGCCTTTGTTATTTAATTGTGTACCAACGTGACAATTCATGACATACAATTACATACTCGTTGCCATTTTTGTACGCAAGCGTGCCGTATTAGCTCTGCTCTGTTAACTTATACAAGACAAAATCTGGCCAAATACGTATTACAAATTTGGCAAATACGTGCGGTAAGGAGTTGACGGTTTACTTTTGCTAAGCATAATCTAGCTAAATGTACTTATGGGCGTCACAAAAATTTGAGGAAATACTTAATACTAGTCGGTATTTTTTGAGCGAAACTCAGGCATGATTATTAAAAGTCAGTTATTACGTGTCACTAAAAAATGATAAAATGAGCTACGAACCTGAACGTATATTCGAATGAAGGTAGTTAAATCGCAGGCATATGAATTTGTTCAGACACATCTTTTTCATTGCTTTGCTTGCCTTAGCAGAGTTCACCTCTCATCATCATATTCTCTATGCGTGCGAATTGTTGTGTTGTCTTCGATGTCGTGTCAAGAGCAATACTTTTCCGTATTGTATTCATTATTATTAGTTAATATAACGTTGCAGTTTAGAATATTATATTCCTAGTGATGCATTGCTGAATTACCTCCTGCAAACATTCTATACTTGGCTGCGCTCAGCACGAGCCCTGCCGACTACTGCTGAAGCGGCTGCAATGTGGCTTATGTCGTTGGTAGTTTTTACACAGGCAAATGTAAATGTTAAAGGTATTTTTGTTATAGTTGTTTCAATCGTTTCGTTATTTTTGATCCTAGTGCAGTAACCATTACTGCTGTTATCTTGAATGTTATAATTATTGTATGCAAAGCTAATAAATATATTCTCCCTTCAAACAATTTATGACGAATTGCAGTTTATGATGCTCATACCGCGTCGGAGATAGTGTATAGCTCTTCGATATCATTATGGAAGTTGATCTCAAATCGGCCGAAATTTAGGCTAAAAGACCTGCAGGTTTATTCTTGGTGTGCTACATTTTAAATTCTACTGCTACATGACTAATGATGTAGTTATAAACTTTTTCAAATTTAAACCAATAACACGACTGAAAATATTCCAAACCAAACGATAGGACAAGTTTCAATGTTCTCAGGAAAGGAAATAATGTTCGTCTGTTTTGGGCAATGGATTGCTAATCCCAAGTAACCACTCGCTTTCAGTGTGTCCCAATTTACATGCAAAACCCATTTCGAAAATTTCTCAATAAAAAAGACGATTTTCTTCTTTCCAATTGACATATGTTCAACAGGCTCATTGTATAATCATCATCGTGTTTGAAGATGAACGAATGTAACGGTAAGGCGTTCGCAATAATGGAACTGCGCTGATTAATGAACGCAAAATGTAACGTGATAACTCAGGACTCAAGCGTTTTCGATTTAAACTTAATGTTCATCTTCAAAGGCCTGACCAATTTATGACCATCTCTTTCCTAGCTATTTTTTGTGTTACAGGCTTCCGGCCGCTCCTCAGGTTCATTTGAGCTACAAGAATGGAGTCAACACTACAATAATAAAGACAAATACTTGAATGAAATAAGCAGTATGTTGAAGTTTTTATTATTGTCACTCGAATGAAAACAACAGGATAATCATTAATAATTTTGACACATGAAATGATCGTTGATTTGTGTCGTCTCGTTGAATCAGGCGATGGCAGTTGAACCAGGCGTCTTTTCCTGTTGAATAAATTAAAAGAATTATTCATATGATCGAAAGTCAGCTTGGGAGTGACCACATATACAGAAATAAATCCCATGATTGATTAACAGCTTTCTACCACTTACCTAATTTGAAAAAATATATATGTTTCAGGCGGTCAACGACTCAATAAGCTGGACGCCATATATAGTACATTGACTCACTAACACACTAGCCGTGGAATCCTCCTCCGAAGCCACCAAAGCCACCATGGCCAAAACCACGTCTGAATCCACCGCCGAAGCCATGTCCAAATCCACCACCGAAACCTCCGAATCCACCGCCGTGTCCGAAGCCACCAAATCCACCGCGGCCAAATCCTCCTCCAAATCCTCCATAGCCTGGAGCCGCGAGGGCGACGGAGCAGAGCAGCAAGACGGCGAAGACGAGGCGGAACTGTACGTGGAGAGTGGGTATGTGAACGTCGTGTCAGGAATATAACAAGCATTACAAGACTGAACTATTAGTGTTTAATTATTTTGCCGCCGATTCAAATGCTAATTACAAGTATTAAACGTAGAGAGCTGGAGTTTCTAGCATTGAGATATTCGTTGGCTCGATTTTACTCAACAGGTTTTTATCATGTAGTGCAGAGATGGCTCATTAAAAATGCATTCACGAAAAAAACATATGAATGCGGGATATAAGATTTTAGCAACTTAATGTTGCTTAGTCTATTAAAGTTTTGTATTCCTCCTTCGGAACCTAATAAGACACTCACCATGTTGTCGGTGGCTGTCGAGTAACTCAACTGGTACGTTGCTCACAGTCGTGGCGCCCTATATAGCCACGAGCTGCCTCAGTGACCTACGTAAGTTGACTGCACTCGACAGTTTAATCGTTCCATTTCTTCCCATAAACCAATGACAGTGGGAATAAATTATCTGGTTTAGGTGCTTTCTACCTATCATGTTCCTGTATTACAAGCAGGCTTGGACGCAGCCTTGAGTCGATGATTAGCAGCTCAGGGTGTATGCGCGGCACGAGGCTTTTTTCCGCATCGCGTAACCTTAGAAACTCTATGTTTCTAAGGCTACTATGACAACGGTTACAATGTTCGTAAATAGTCTTTTGTTAATTGGAAATAAATCAACGGGACATGAGCTGCAATCCTACTACACTCGACAGGCCGGAATTTTTCCCAGAGATAATGCGAGATGCATAATAATTAATCAATATGATGCAATAATGAATAATAAATACATATCATTACATAATAGAATTAACAAAAAATATAATCATATATAATATACATAAAAGTAGGAGGAACATAATTGCATACCAGAATTAATAAATAAACTATAATCTATAATCTCATAGTTTAGCTGCGGCACGAAATATTTCTGTTTTTGAGTTTATAAGCAATTTGCCAATTTTTAAGCCTGCCAGGATTCACTTACGTTTTGTTAAATCAACTTAAATTGCTGTTTATGGCAATACGCGATTATTTTTTGCATCAAGTACGAATTAAGGTTTTTCTGTTCGGTGGTGAGTACTAATTTTGATAGCCACTGAGCCTGCTTTGGTTTTGGAAGATTTTTTTTAACAGAAATTTTCTGCACAAAATAATATATTTCTATGCAGATTGTGCTGTAATTCTCAATTCAAATTAAATGTACCTGACTCCGAACTATTTCGAGATTCTAGAAGTAAAACTCTTTTGTATTCTTTTAACCATTTGAATATTTACCAACTGTTTGAGGACGTAAAACAAATGCAACAGATAATAAGTACAATTTTTCGGAATTCTCAGCCGATTCTTTAATAATGGACCTATTTTTGTAAATCAGCCAAATAATTTAGAAGGCCGGTCACTTATTCCATTCGTATTTTTTATCGATACTTGTGCATGTTTATCTCCTCACCAAAAACGCATGCCAATTAATGAGGTTAAATTTTCATTCAAGATAAATATTATTGTGTGTCGACGGAGCCTCCTACTCATAGATTAGGTAACACACCTGAAATACCCAATTCAATTACATGTAAAGCATGGCTCTTAGTTGTTGTCAAACGACCTTAAAAAACGGTCCTCAGTTTTAGCGTTATGTCGATATTCCGCTGTGAGCTAAATAGCGTTTTGTTATTTTTATTTCTTTTCCTCTAAAACCTTCTTAAAGTCAAGTTCTTTTTCATCATATTTTTCTAGTTTTATATATTGCGTATTCGTGGAGCATGAATAATGAATGAGAAATAAAGAATAAAGAAAGTATAATCTACAGCCATCTAGCCTCACAATTTTTAAAATTTGTGCGTCTCTTATGTTTTTTTTCCTCAGTTGTGCAAATCAAAATGTATACAGCACAAAAAATCATTTATTTCCTGAAATACCGGCATAAATAATTATTGATCTTTGTTTTTTCACGGATTAGTTTTGTCTGCTTTGATTTTCAGTACAACCTTCATGTATGATCAGACATGTTTCTATTAATATTATTATTATTATTCTACGAAGCAGTTATCGTGGCGTCTGGTTCAAACGAGCTCCGAGGGCACGTTACACGTATGTTTAATAGCTAACGAAAAATAAATAGACGCGAGAAAGAATAAGAGGGGATAAAAATGACTACGGAACGCACTATTTATCGTACCTATATATTATCGCAAACTGTACGTATTCAAAAATTTCCTGAGAAGACTAACACGTTCAAAATTTTCTGACTCGTCGTAAACTTGTACCCTGAAAAAGCGCTCAGTTAAAAATCAGTCACGGATGCGAGGCATGATAAAAAAGAAACCTCGGAATATTGACGTAACTAGTTTCACTTGAACGCGTGTAAAAAGAACCATACAGCAAAAGCAGAATTACAAATTTTGAAGAGAAAACCCAATATCAGAAGAAACAATAAAATTTGGTTTGCTTACATTCTTGAATCTTCCTCGAAGCTTCTAAAGCCAAGCAATGCATTACTATAAATGCTACAAAGAAGCTAAACCGTTTATCACAGCTTTCCAAAAATGCTTCAAGGGAATTTATTTCTTTGCTTCGAGTATCGTGAAACTAATTTATTATTTCACTAAAAATATGAATACATATTTGTATACCAGATTTTGTTTCATATTGATTCTCAATCCTTTAAATTATAGCTGAAATAAGAAGATTTCGTTAGTAAAATTTGAATGTTACTCCTGCACCTTAGAGATATTTCTTTGATACCCTGTTATATTTTTGCTCAATCATGCAGGTCAATCAGCAATTCCACGGTCTGCTTAATGCTTGTAATGCGGGGGAAATCAACGGAATGCCCGCGGATTAAAATGGAATTACAGGACATCTTGTATTCCAAAGCTCCAGGAATTAGTTCGTTGACGATAATAATTTGCTGCTTGCGTTCCTGACTCAATTTAATTACTATGCAAGAAATTAATTTTTTCTTCGTTTGCTATTGTTTCTTAGCTCGGCCTTCACATGTTCCGGATCATTTCATAGTTTATCTTATTTTTTATTGATTGTATTTTACCGGATATTGTCTTTCCGTGTTTATTTTCATCTATATATGAAGCAGATTTGTAGTTCATAAATGGGCATTTCAATACACTATTTGCCATGTATGTCACGTGCAAATTTTAATTGTAAATTTATAAACAAAGAAATTACATTAAATTATACTGAGAACAAATAGCATGCTTCAATTGATGCTCCATATTATCTGTGTTAAAACTTTTGAAAATCAGAGATAAAAAATATAAAAACGAATTTCGACAGTCGAGAGTAAAACCTAATGTAATTAACGTTTCAAATGTTGTGTATAAATTTTATTTGAATGGCATTCCCGATACTACTAAACTGCAAAATATCAGTATTGATGTTATCGTACTGTTTGAATCTGATTTATATTTGATTCTTAATCGCAGAATCCCTGGCATGAATTACCGATCGACGATCAATGAATTGCTGTCAGCGATCTACGATGGTCTTGTTCGTGAATACCTATGTCTGATTATACCTATGTCTGATAATACCTATGACTGATTATACCTATGTCTGATTATACCTATGTCTGATTAAACCCATGTCTGATAATAACTATGTCTGATAATACCTATGTCTGACAATACCTATGTCTGATAATACCTATGTCTGCTAATACCTATGTCTGATAATACCTATGTCTGATAGTACCTATGTCTGATTATACCTATGTCTGATTAAACCCATGTCTGATACTAACTATGTCTGATAATACCTATGTCTGATAATACCTAAGTCTGATTATACCTATGTCTGATAATACCTATGTCTGATAATATACTCTGTATTAGGCTCTGTATTAGGATATTAATTTCCAACTTCGGTTGGACTTCCATCATTATTTCGGCGAATGTTTCGACCGCAAGTCTAATTTTTTAATATTATTTCCTCTTGTCGAGTTGTCGAGCAGAAAAAATCTATATTTTGCATGTATGAGGGCTGGGTTTTTGTACCACCGCGTAAGTGTTAATGAAGCATACAATCGATCGCATATTGTTTAGCAAGTGCACGATGTATGGAAAAATCTCTCAGCAAAAGCTATAAACTATTCGTGAATAAAAATTAAGAATTTAAATTGCAAATTCTTCTAGATCGCATCAGAAAATTGTTATAAATATGGTTTCAATGACATATGCACCAGTAAAAAATGGAATTAAATATTGAAATTTTGGTGTTAATTTTTATTGTCGTCATTGCACAGGAAAAAAATATCAGAGGTCCAGATTAGCCTTTTTCGGTTGTGGTCGTCATCGAGAGGTCCTTGAAGTGTCCTCACACCAGCATCTTATCCTGTTGAAGAAATGGAAATATAAAATATTAGATCAGTACTCATTGCAGTGAGTGACAGTGAGCTCATTTTTCATGATTTATTGTCATGTAAATGGAAAAGATTATAAGGGTGGCAACGCAGATTTCATCACAATTAACGATTAAATCATAACAAATTAATGTATTTCTTCAAGCTGGATATTAAAAAAATTACCACTTCTGATTTATTCACCGTAAAAGCCTCCACCAAATCCACCGTGGCCGAAACCGCGTTTAAATCCGCCTCCGAAGCCATGTCCAAATCCACCACCGAAACTTCCGAATCCTACGCCGTGTCCAAAGCCACCAAATCCACCGTGGCCAAATCCTCCAAAACCACCAAAGCCTGGAGCCGCGAGGGCGACGGCGCAGAGCAGCAAGACGGCGAAGACGAGGCGGAACTGCGCAAGTGTTATTAAAGGTCAGGCAAAATCTGTAGCAGCCTTCTTTGAAAAAGTTGTGGCATTCTTTTAATGGTGAGTCAATAATACTGTTTCGAATCGGAAGTAAGTTTAAATATTTCACGGACTCTTCCACGCTATAATAGTGAAATAGCACTCACCGAGTTACTTCAGACATGCACGGTTGTTGTTGAAAAAATATTGGAAAAAATTGCATGATGTTTCTCATAGTGAGAATTTCAAACGGTGCATGTAGATCAAAATAGCTCCCTTGAATACTTTGTTTACATTTTTACGTTCAAAGGGCGGTTCTCTCTCATGGGTGATTAATGAAATATAAAATTGTTTGCATTAACACTGCTTGACAATTATTCGTCAATAACTAAGTTTACTTACCATGTTCTCGGTGGCTGTCGAGGAACTCAACTAGTGACTTGTTTTCGAGTGTTTCGCCTTATAAAGCCATGAGCGGCCTCGGGTGAACCAAATGGGCCCCTCGGACGTGAAAACTTGACAAACTCCGCTAAAAACGGAAGTAAATCTTTCATTAGCGTCTTTCAACCTAGCCGTTCCTTGTTGAAATTACTCACTTGGATGCAGCCTTGAGATGATTGAAAGGCTTTTGTATATGTAGTGCGCAACATTGAAACTTGCCACTGCCTGTCTCCATGGAAAAGTTCAACGGCGACAGAGTTTTAATTGTGAGTCTACATTTTTGCACGCAGGTCTATGGGCAAACCAAACGTGCTGATTGCCAGTTTTTTGTAGAATTTCCTAAATTGAAAATTACATGTAATTACTGAAATTCTACTTATCGCGTTAAACGATTTTCAAGGATAAAAATTTTGAATAATCGTAGAAATTACTTCATTGGTGGTCCGAAGAACGTTGACAATCGCGGAGCGTTCTGATGTGTTAATAATAAAATAACTTGGTTAATAACGATTATTATTTTTATTGTTAGCGTCTTGCAGCAGCTTTTGACTATAGACAGTATAAAAGAAATCAGATTAAGTAAATTAATGATTTTGCACTAATTCTGAGCGCGGCAACGTCGATTGTAAGTATTCCCATTTTATGAAAGCGGCTGTGAATAAACTATAGAATTTCCTGGCATTGGTTCCACACATCAGCTCCAGGCTGGTATGAGAAATAAACTACAACACATTTGCGGTATAAATCTTAATTATCGACCGGTAAATTATCGGCTCATTATAACGAACACTTCAACCGCCATACGCGTTAAGTCTGATGATTATAGATATTTAAATATTTGCGTAGTGCACGGTTTGATGTATCTCAAAATGTCATGATATTAAATTTTGGGATTTTTCTAACTAATCGAACATTTCAAAATATCAGCAACAACTGTGAACAAAATTTTAACAGCTACAAATTTATCTACAGGAACTTGAACAGAAAACTTACTTCTTAGTCGAAAAGACGCTCGAAATTACTGGCCTGTACGATTTTATTACAAAATATAACTTTTTATGTTGTGAAGCATTACGTACTGTACAAACAACCGTGAATTCTAGCCGACAATAAATAGCTACGAACTTAAAATAATATTTCAAATGTTTTATCAAAACTTGTTCAGAAATAGAGCTCCTAAAATCTACTTGAAAAAATTGGCAAATTGAATGTGTCTGTAATTCACAAGTGACAAATCGGTTTGGCCGGTTGGGGCGCACGATCACAATATTTCTCCGAACTATCGTAGCCACACTTCCTTGCAACAAATAAGAAGCCTTTTCGGTTCAAATTTTACGCTCACCGCTACAATTTTTTTACATATCTCAACAACGATACACAGGCGTGTTCTCTCGCTTTTAGCCCATAACAAATCACACCTCATCAGAGATCCCTCATCACACCTCACACCTCGATCTCTGAATTGCATCTGAACAATAAATATTATGCATTAAGAGGAATTGTTATGCATGCATTATTTAGCAACTTGAACTGCATTTAACAAATTCAGAATAGAGTCTAATAAGTTGTGTAACATTTGTAACTGAGAGCACGAGGCAAAGGATTGAGAACTTTGATATTTAAAAAACTCGGGTTCAACAGGCTATGATCTTGATTTTAAAATTCAACTCCTCATATAGTATATGCTGTTGAAAAATTGTTGTTAACAACTTTTTTTATGAAAACAATTAGGAATAAATGATAATCGAAGATGTATATAAATAGCCTCAAGTTCTTCCAATCAATACAATCCGCAATTTTAGAACTGGTCATCAGTTTTGGCTTGAGCTTGTTGAATTTGTGGACGGATAATTTTAAGAAATCATGATGTGGTCAGGCACTTGTTACCGGAAATGATTTTGTGGCGCATGTGGAGTTGTTCTACGATATAGAGCTTTTGAATGAGTGTTATTACAAGCGTATGAGGTTATTTTATAAATATGTTGCCTTCTGAAACGCAGAGTAAGTTCATACTAATAATGAAGTCATTTTTGTACTTCAGAACCTGGACTTTAGAGCAAAAACTAGAACCTGTGAGTGAAAAATCTGACAGCAATTTTCTGATCTGAAGCTCAAAAACATACGTCAGCGGAGTAGTTAGCCGAATCTCCAGCATCTATAAGAAAAATTATAAATCCATTTATACATTTGAAATAAATAGGCTCGTCCAATATTTAATTAAATCTGTAATTATAATTTGTACATTTCAACGATTTTTATTAATTTATTATTATTAATTTACTTTTAGTACGTAATTTTATAATTATTTTTTTTAATATTATTTAATTTACATTTTTATGTGTCATTAACGATACATTCATTTTCATTAACGATACTTTTATATTCTCTTTATGACTGCTTTTCAAAAACTATGCTACAAATTAAAGTTCAAAAATAGCCTTTCCCTCTTAAAATTTCAAATCTTCAATTGTAGCCGCTCTACTGCCCCTATTGGCTGTCCACAGAAGTACCCTTAGTCGGAGTTCTGAAATACGCGACCTAATGAAAAACGCTTGATTACATTTCATTTCTTTTCTGCCTAAGCAAGCAAATCTGGAGTCTCCTATTCAACTATTAAATAAAAATTTTAAATATTCGTCGTTGAGAACCTAGCAAGGACACGGTAGACTACAAATTTACGTAGCTAAATATGAGCAGTTGTTTGTGGGTTATATTTCTGTTCGTTGAGCTCTGCTGTGATTTTACAGCCGTGGCCCTGCGATTTTTCTCAAGAATTCGATTTAACGTTCTTTCAGTTCCCCCAAACAACATCGACTTTTAGCTTGACCTGAGTTTATTTGCTGATGGTGCAACACTTTCTTTTCCAAGCACATCATTGCTCACGAGCCGTGCTTTACGCAACTCTTGAAGCAGCAGGCAGTCGAACAACTTCCGTGACGCAGGTGCCTGTTGAAATAGCTCCAAAAACTGGGCCTCTTTGAACTTTGATAGATTTTTTTACAACGACCAGAAACTACAGTTATTTCTTGTTTCGGTATTGAATAATAAGAATAAAAAGCAAAATGCCATAAGAATATGCCAAAGTTTCCTTGTTAGGTGTTTGTTAGAATATTATGACGTGACGATTGTTTTTGGCTTGGCTGTCCGATACGATCATAAGGGTTTTGTTTTTTGTCTTGTTTAAATGTTTATCAAATAAGCTTCAACATTAATCTGTACTGTGATGATTTTTTAGTGCATTGGATGACTTTACAAAGTCTGGAAATAAAAGCGGATGGATTCGCATTAACAATGAGTATTTATTATTTTCTAGTTGATTTTATTCTAGAACTCAGGGCAAAGTTATCTGTAAGATGAAAGAGCGCGTGTTTTCCGTAACGGTTTTCAAACATATTATGAATGCGTTAAGCTTCTTTTGATAGAGAAAAAATCGTCGGTAAATTTCGTATACAGTTCTACTGAAGTGACACCGACACCACATTCATCACAAGCTCATATAGGTCAGGAAAAAATCAACCGCAACATTTTTTCAAAGCGATATCTCTGCTCATGCACTTCTGTTGAAAAATATGTTTTCCTCATAATTTCTTGGAAAATAAGCTTAGTGAGACGTGAATTTTTATCCATATTTCGAAAATATAAGTGATGAAATTTCCTCGAATAGATCCTCAGTTATGATCGGGGAATAGTGCTTGGTTAAGCAAGCAAAAATTGTTTTGAATTGGGAGAAATTTTCCTCGAATAAAAATCTGTATAATAAGAAGCGCCACTTGTTTACAGTCGTTTTAAATTAATGGCATAGGTATTGTTTAGGTTTCAATGCACTATAATATTAAAACAAATAGATGAAATATCCAAATGTAGGAAATAATTTTTATTAATTTCATTGTACATGAAATGGTGAGGAAAATTTCAGAGGCCAGGATTAGCGTTTTCCAGTGTTGTGGTCGTCAAGGGGTTTTCGGCGTTTCTTCACAGCGGCATCTTACCCTGTTGAAGTAAAAGCAAAACGATTAATCTCAAAAAGTTATCGCCATGTATAGGGAGTGGAATGATTGCAGGTATTTTTGACTTGGCGAGGAGCCTAGTAATGAACCCTAGCACATATGATCGTGAGTGGCGTAAACATCATCGTACGTGCATATTAGAAAATCATAAAGTCAAATGCATTTTCAAGTGATAGTTTTGAAATAACTTGGTTGCAATTATTTATTTACCGTAAAAACCTCCACCGAATCCACCGTGGCCGAAACCATGCTTAAATCCTCCACCGAAGCCATGTCCATATCCACCAACAAATTTTCCAAATCCGATGCCATGTCCGAAACCACCGAAGCCACCGTGGCCAAATCCTCCAAATCCTCCATAGCCTGGAGCCGCGAGGGCGACGGCGCAGAGCAGCAACGTGGCGAAGACGAGGCGGAACTGTAACAAATTTTCTTGTAGAATATCACTGGACAGTCTTTTCTTTGTAACAACTGTAGTTTACTTTTCAGAGGAAAGTCAATACTGAATGTGAGTATCTAGAAAATCCCTTGAGTCCATTTTAATCAGTTTACCTGGTTAACAAGTAATTCAGCCATGGCATCAAATTGAAAACGGTTGAACTCTCCCAAAAAATTTATGAACTCTCCCACGTTGCTAGTTGATGTAAAAGTGGCAGATTTAATTCTCAAGTAAAAAAGTTGGTGGGAAAAGTTCGATTAAATTTCAAGTTGTTTCATGATACTGCGAAATGTCAAAGAAATCATGCAGAAAAGTTTCATCACCACCTTATTTAGAGTGTAATATATGTGATAATAAAATTTTAAAAATATCTATTCTCTCCTGCTACTACTTGACACATCTTTATCAATACCAAAATTTACGTACCATGTTGTCGGTAGCTGTTGAGGAACTCAACTGGTGACTCGTTTTCGAGTGTTTCGCTTTATAAAGCCACATTCGGCCTCGTCTGAAATAAATGGGCAGGTTACTAACAAATAAAATTGTATGGAAAATCTGATAAGAACGGAAGTACATAATGCACTAGCGCCTTTCTGCCAAGTTGTTCCTATATTGAAGGTACTCGCCTGAATGCAGCCTTGAGATAATAAAAAGATCTTCTTGTGTAGCGCAACATTGAAACTTGCTTCTGTCTCTCTCTCCAATGAAGAGTTATTCATTTAGCTGCTATTGTGATCAATTCCTTGTCTATAATCCCATACATACGGTTGTTTCCCGACCAACTTAAAGGTCAAGTTCAAGTCGAATTCACCAAGTTCGAAACGAATTTCAAGTGCCTAAATTTTACGAAACTTGTGAATCAATTTACATGGATGAAAATCATGTTGAAAATTTATTAAATTTGAGAGGGAGGGTTGATCACCGGAAGAGAGTGTAGTTGACGTGAAGCCTTTCCATGTGTGAGTTAATGCGCTCAAATTTGTATGAATAGACTTTTTTACCTTGTGTTTCGCAACAGCCTTATTCGAAAAAATGAGAGAATAAGAAATTTGCTAATTTCTTTATCTGTGAAGATTTGAAGTGGGTCATCGTCTTTTGTAGTTATTTATCTATTCAAATATTCATCTCCTTTATACTCACATGTTGAATAAAATGGATTATCGGTAAATTATCTGCTCATTATAACAAATCATTTAACTCGCTTTAGCATTTAGTCTAATATTGAGTATATCTGTAATTCACAAGTTTTTAAAAATAAATAAATAAATTTATATCTGTTTTATTTTAAAATTGGTTTTAATTATCACGCACACAACTATGTATTCGTATAGCCCTTTCACCTTTTTCATGCCAAGTGGAAAATTTTAGGAGCCCTACTTATCTCCTGTTTACTTACGTGAATTTTTATAGTTTAATTTATGCTCACTCTGATATCTCAATTGCGTTTGGGCTTGTAACTAATAATTTTTTTCTACAAGCGAGAACGAAATTGTGGAGTGAATTTATCCAAGCAGGTGCTTAGCAATTAATTTAAGATAGTTCGGTATTTGTTAGTTAAATCGAATATTATGGAAGTAAATGGGTGTGGTAATTATTATCAGTTATAATTGACGACGTCGCTTGGCTTGATAATCACTGCTTTGAAGTCGTCTAAGCTGTGACTTATGGTTCTTCTGTGTTCATTGCTAGTCAATCTCTTACACTTGAAAATACACAACACGCTGTAACATGAATTTTTAATGTTATCTCGACAATGCATTAGTATTCAATTGTGATACATATGAAAAAGTGTATTTAAAGTGACCGTACAATTGATAGATACTATGATTGTGACTGTTATCACCAAATCCACTCGCTCAAATTTGCAATAGCGGCCTAAAGCAAATCAACCTGAACGTCCCAAGTTTGTTCTGTGTCAGCAATATCTGCCCCTAAACCCGCGCTTACGAACGCTTTGCAGCAGATCTGACCGAAACGGCATTGCGCTCTTCAATTGTGAATCTAAAATGAATGATTGGAAGTAAACATATTCATGCACATTGCGGTGATAAACCGATCACAGTTTATCTGTTCGCGGAAAATATCTGCGAAAAGAGAATATCTTAACAGATATTAATATCTGTAAGAGGACCTGTACAAAATTTTCCTAGCGGACCTTTCTATTCACTGCTTGGCCGCTTATTACTCATATTTCCATTAATTTAACTGACTCGCCCAATCCTATGAATCATTATTAAAGTCCCGTCCAACATGATTTTATGCAAGCACTTTCACTTTTATGCAAGAGTACAATGAGTCACGAATATATCCCAGGTTTCTATTCAAATGATCCTCATATATTCTCTTAGATAAACGCAAAGAAAATTATTTGTCGGTCCAATCATTTATTAGGTAACAACCCAGCAAAATAAAATCCAGCCCCAATATTCTGAGCTAAGATTTATCTTGAATAAACTTCTTTCCAATAATATTTATTTTGAATATTATAGTATCTTTCGTGCGTTGTGTTATAAGGCCCCGTTTAGTGTACTAGTTTTCTATGAACTATTCAGGCTAGATTATGTCGAAACTTATTAAACGTGATGTACTGAGACCGTATATTTATGCCCTTTATTCCTGTTGACACTAAATCCCTTCAAACGTGAAGGGAAAATTACGCAAATGTTATTTTATTGCAAGAATGGTATCTACAACGCAAGCGATTAGCTTATTTATGAAAATTTTCATCACGTTAAAGAGTCATTGAAATCAAGGAATTTCGGTTGTCTATAATATTTTGCTCGAGTTGATCATTTTCCCTACTGAAAAAAATAATGGATACAAATCATTTAATTATATTTAATTGCCCCGAAGGGAGCTAACACTTGTTTTCTTTTAAGGATTTTTCATTTAAAATATTTTTAGTGTAGCCTTATTGAGGCAATGTAAGAAAAACTGCAAACGACAATGATATCAATCCAAGCTTTCAGATTTTAACAATATAACTTCTGAATCGTTGTTTCGTATCGTTTCCAACCGTGTGTTGTTTGACGTTTAAAGTTCATGCAGCTGACAAGTGCAAGTTCCTAGCGTCTGATTCTTTCAATAATGAATGAGAATTGTTCTATAGGTGGAGGCACGGCTGCACGGAGCGAGTCTGTCGTCCGGGAGGGCGGAAGTCCCCAAAAAGTATAGAAATCTCAAGATTGTTATCATCTGGTTCATTTTCTTATGGAGTTCTATGGAAATAAGAATTATATCTGAGCTGTTGAACATTGTTATTCGAAAGTTTTTGATTTCATTGGTCATATACTGATTAAGTATTGGAAGAATAGGAAGGAAAATGATACTTTTGGCTCCATGGTAAGTTCTTAAACCAAATTTTAAGTTCTTAAACTCAATTTTAGCAAAGGAAACACAAAATCATTATTTAATTAATAGCGGAAATAATTATATCCATTTGTAGGATTACGAATAGTCACTCGTATTGGAGATGAAAAAAAATGTACAGAATAAGATTATTTCTGATTCCACAAACATACAAAATGTCCCTCCCTTAAACCTCGCTCGTCTTAAAAACATCCTCAAGCGTTCGTCGCCACTACGCCCAATGCTAATGTTTTAATCCCTCAAAACTTGACAAGCAGCGTATTTACGAATTCTTAGAGCATTTTTTTAGCAGTTTTTCAGTCACTGAGGGATAAGTTAGTTTCCTAGAAACTTATGAATATAGAGGAGAATTTTAGATTAAGGTTCTCTGAAGGCTTTTTATTTAATGCGTTCGATTGAGAAACAGTCAAAGGTTATAAATTATGAAGGAAAAAAGTTTTCATGGGTCGTGCAATATAGTAGTGGCCGGGGCTGCGAGTTGGAGATTCCCATCTCACCTTCTCAGCCTGTTGGAGGAAAAAATATCGAAATATCAACAAAGAAACAGACAAAATCAATAGAAGCAGAATTTAGAGCATTATTAAATTTTGATGGTAAATTTGACAAATTGACATTATTACTATCGAAATGAAGCCAATTTCAATTGAGTACACATTTAATATTTACTCACGAAAATACCCTAAACCATTTCCAAGGCCTGGATACCCAAGGCCACCGAAACCAAGTCCAAATTGTCCGAGCCCGCGTCCTAGTCCCAAGCCGAGTCCTGAACCGATTCCTGCGCCAAATCCTGTGCCGAATCCTGTGCCGAGTCCACCAAATCCAGAACCGAATCCTGTGCCAATTCCTGTGCCGAATCCTGTGCCGAGTCCACCAAATCCTCCGAAGGGTGTGATTCCTGTGAATCCAATGTTGCCTAATCCTCCTCCGAGATATCCATAGCTTGGAGCCGAGTGGACAGCGGCGCACAGCAGCAGAACGGCGAAGACGAGGCGAAACTGCGACACGTGGATTAGTTAACGCTAGGTCGAAAATTTTCTGTTTCACTAAATAGTCTTCAAAGCTAAGAACTGAACTACGCCTTCATTATGGTATTATTCAGGGTGGTTGGGGAACCAATTATTTGGCAATGTATTGCCTTCGAGCCCGTTAGTTAGAATTTAATTTCAGTTAGAAACTGAAATTTTTCAGAAATGTGGCTGATCTCTTTTGGGAACTTCAACTAAACGCTCGCTGATATTACAATGGCTACAGCACTGCAATTGTGTTGCAGTCGCACTTGCACTGCAATTGAGTTGCAATCGTCAAGACTTAAAAATAATATTTTAAGTTATTATTTCTGACAACGAGATGTTTCAGAGAGCGTTTATTTGCGAAAACAAGATTTGTAATGTCACCTTCTTAAACCTAAAATGAATCAATTCAAACTTTATGCCGCACGTTACCATTTAATTTCTAGAACTTTTGACATTATTTTTATGTCAATCGTAATAATGTTTCATTTCACTCCCCATATTTACATAAATTAAGTAAATGAATATTTACTCACCATATTGACAGTGGCTGTCGAGGAACTCAACTGGTGATCTGTTCTCACTCGATTCGCTTTATATAACCAAAAGCGGCCTCGGTTGGCTTGAATATTCTACACTCTAATGATAATCGTGGCGAACGCTGATAAGGGCGGATGTTGGTCATTCACAGGCCACTTGCAACTAAGCTCGCTCGACACTTACAGGACCTGCCTGGCCATGAGATGATTGGTAGATCTGCGTGTGTTGGACATAACATTGATAATTTCTTCCTGGTACTCTAATGGGAAAGGGACCGGTTTCCGACACTCAACTTTTATTGCTAGGCTGTTTTTCATAGTTGGGCGGGATATTATTTTTTTATTGCTAGGCGGAATATGATGGCAACAAAAATATTTATGACTCTCAACTATTGAATTTGCCGTTGGGAAACAATTAGCCACGATGCTTTTATTTTTCCTATTAAATAATTAATTAATTAATTAATTCGATACGAAATCTCAATTTCGTGTTTTCTTAAATTCTCATTCTCTTTGTCGGTTCCCCCCATCGCTCAGAATTTCTGAACTAATAAAATTCCTGAACTTACTCCTAATTTTGTCAGGCCCTACGTAATTTGAAGCACGCCGTCTAAATCCTTCAACATGTTAGTGTGAAACTTTGTTATATTCAAACCGCTTTCATTCCTGCAAGTCACCATCGTTTCATTGACGAGAAAGATTTTCTGTGAAGCTTATTGAAATATGGAATTTTAAGTTTTTTCTAGAGTATCAATTTGCGATATTATTGAGATTTCATTAAATCTGAGTTTCGATAATTAATGTTAAATTACCATAAGTACCAAAGTAATTTAATCTTCATACACAACTCGGACTCAATTTTACATGTATTTTGCATATGTTACTCAAAAACGTTTTTTCTGCACTCAGCCCAATACCGTTTGTGGAGGGGCGTCTGCCTTAATGTCTGAAAATATAAATCAAAGATAAAATAAAAACAGAGACTATTCCGCAACCAATTTATCGACAACGAGGGATCTGAAACTTAATCATCTAATCCCAAGCACGGTTGTTTAGCTGTATTTTATTTCTAAAACTAATTAACGATTATTAAATATCTTTCGAAAAATTTCTTAAGGCGCATTGTAAAAATTGATTGCAAATTCTATCGGTACGAAACACTCGAACCCGATGAAGCTGTATACAGTGTTATGGTATTAATTAAATGGCTAAAATACTAACTCAAACTTATTAGCAATATCTTTTCTAGAAAGTTTTTCAATTTATAATATTAAAATTTTTGCGCGCAGGAAACATGTGATTCAAGTTCTTTACGTTTATGCCGCTGAATATAAATAGAGCTCGTGGCATTCGTAGATCGCAAACGATCTTAACTTTTGAATTCAGCTAATCGTTGTGCTCTAGTCGATAAATTTGTAGAATTTTGTATGCAGTGCTCATAATATATTTTTTCAACCTCAGAATTAATTATAGTCAAGGAAATGATACCGACATTGAATGGTGTGGGAACATTGCATATGACGCGTGCCTAACACGTACGCTCGTTGTTTGTACGTCACGCAACGCTGCGGTGACAATCGGAACATGAAGTCCTGCGTGTTGATAACGCCCGGTGTTTAAAATTGAATAGATGAATTATCGATTAATTTCCCATGAAACAGCTCCTCTATACTGAGAGAAAAATGGCTCGTATCTTAATGACCTCATCACATTAAAATAAAAACACCAAACCTTTCACTGTCCTCCACCTCATTGTTTAACCAGATATCTTAGCAATGTAACAGACTACAGTTCATTGATGGTAATTTTGTTCGCTGTTTTCTATAAGACCAGTAATCTGCGGCAAACTTTAGCGAGAATCCTCTATTTCGGAAAGGCGAATAAGTGATTTGGCTAGTTAACATTCCTATAGCATTTCCTACGACTGATTTAATTTTTCTACTTCGGACGTTTTTCCGAAGATTCTTTGAGTCCCGAGTGAGTGCCTCAAAGTATATAAAAATCAATTCCGCTGAAAATCACAGACAGGAGTTCTGATGTTGATCTTTGACTAAGGGAAAACAATTGTTTATTAACAATATGGACAATATTTTGACCCCGATTAGACTGATGAGATCTTGTCGTTTATTACTTCGGGACAATAAAACTGGTTAAAAATATAACTTTATTCATGCTCAAATTTTTCGCAGAGATCTTAATATTTCATTCGAATTAAAAATCAAAGCTCATGAGGCACTCTTATTGCTGTTGTCCGTGGCTCTGCTGGTCACTACTGCAGGTCTTGTCTTATCCTAGGAGAAAAATATTATAAATCATTACCATAACTTAATATAGTCATAATCGTACAAAAAAAACATTAATCATTATCATAACTAAATGTGGTCATAGTCATACTATAAACATCTGAAGCAATCCGTCTCTACAAGAAAGTTCTAAGAGAACACGCAAGATAAACTCTTACTGAAAAAAACAGTTTTGTTTACCGTGATGGAATCCGCCTCCATATCCGCGTCCTCCGAATCCACCACCAAATCCGCGTCCGCCAAATCCAAATCCGCCGAACCCACCCCTCCCAAATCCACCTCCGTGACCAAATCCTCCGTGCCCAAAACCACCACCGTGCCCAAATCCACCACCGTGCCCAAATCCACCTCCATGCCCAAATCCTCCACCGAATCCCCCAAATCCGCCTCCAAATCCGTGATCGGCGCTGACGAAGGCGATGCAGCAGCACAAGGCGAGGGCGAGAGTATAGCGGAACTGCACGAGCGAAAAAAAAACAATAAATGTGCGAAACAGAATTCTTATCCAAATTGCATATTCAAATTGGCTAGTAGAAATATCTATTTATTAACTTCATATCGATGAGAATGAAACGTTGGATCCACAATTATAGCCTCATCCAGGTAATACGTAGCCGTAGGAATTCAATTGTTCTCTTTATTCGGAAAGAAATTTGGTAATTTTTCGGTAGAAACATATCAGTTTAATCTACAATTTGTTAATCTAAATTTAAAAAAGGGGTTAAATTTTTTGTAAAATATCTATGATTGTACAAAACAAGTATTGCATTATTTCCGTTGTATATGTGATTATTATATCAAAGTCATAAGATTTTGCTAGCATTTACGGACTCACCATGTTGACTATATGAGGCGGTAACTCAACTGAAGCTCAGCGTCACGACGTCGCTTATAAAGATGCTGGCGCGCGAAGATGACCTTCTACAGGAGCTTCAGGCCCTTTGCACGGGCCTTCCCATTCAATGCGTGACTTTCTAAGTACCTCGCCCCAGCTAACGGCTTCACCTGCACCCCCTTCTTATATCGTAGAGGTATGCCAGCATTACGTCTCTATAGTGTCTGCATGTGCCGGTAGAATCCTAATCAAATGAGCCTTGGACATGAATTTTATAATTTATTTTGTGTGGACAGTTCCCTAAGGTTCAAATAATAGAAGTCAAATAATTTCAGCTCGTAGATCTGCATAGAAGATTTAGATGAGCTTAAGTTATATCACAATAATGTATTCTTATCCGCTGCGTCTGGCGTTGTTCCTGCCTTTATATAATGCAACATCTGATTATATAATAATGGATAGTCTCACCGTGAATACCTCAAGGTAAGATATGACGAAACAAAGTTGTTGCATTTCCTTGATATGGCATTTGTATGAGTCTCGCACCGATTAAATTAATTAACGTATTTGTACATACGCGGAAATGTTATAACAAACATAGTATCAACAATCTTTCATTGAACGAACTATTTCCTGTATTTAAGAATTCAATGCCCTCCAATTCGTATTTTGTGGTTATCCATAAGACAAAGAAATAAACTTCGGTGCAGAGTGAAATGGGTTTTGATAAATTTCATGTAACAGCCCGTTATTATATAGCTGACTAACGTAATGTTTAGTAGGTATTTATTTCAAAATTCAATCGTGTTAATAAGAGATAAGATCGGATGTAGAATGCGCCGACCATCGTTTGTGTGAAAATAATGCAGTTTTAGGCGAGTATTTAACTTTTTTATGACTATATTAAAGTTTGGATACTACGTATCATGGGTATCACCTGATAAGACCTACAATATTTTCCGTGTTTGTCGTCAAATATTTTTAGCGCCTATAAGAAAAAATTATTCCTTTAACATTAGCATATAACTAAATTTTTTCCCCTTTACTTGACTTATTTCTGGTCACACCAATTTCTAGGTGAATACTTCACGTAGTTTCACTTTCTAGAAACTCATACAAATGCATTCAGTATGTTTTAAAATCGTGCCGAGGCCACCAGCCTCCAGGGCGATTGTCCATACAAAAAGTATATTGTCGTCCGTCAAAATATGACGAATACGACTACTTTCTCAGCACGCGTAAACTCGGTAATTAAATTAACATCTTATTTTGAACTAAAATTACGATTTTTACCGTATTTCTTGCTGCTACAAATTTAAATGCGGCTTCATGCTACGAATTTAAAGTAGGGTTTTTTTCCTGAATTTGTGGTTTGGGAACTCTAGATACAGGGCGGCAAGTCAACGGAAGTACATGATAAAGCGAATGAAAAATTTCCTCAATATAGCTGAGGCTATCTTCAGAGTTTGGAGACTTTTCTTCTAACATTTTGACAATCATCAGGAAAATTAAAATATCAATCGAGAAAAAATCGAGATAGATTGTCATCTAGCATTGATTTTTGGTACGGTATTCCTTATTCATGGCAAACCATTCGATAAAATTGGCTAACGAAGTATATTCAATTTCATGGTAATGGTCTCGACTTTTTAATTGATACACATCAACATCATTTCAAATTTTACTCGCAGTGATGCCCCGATGAGCAGGCTTTTAAAATAGGCGAAACCATGTATGGTTCCTCTGTCAAAACTTCGTCCCATTCCCGCCCCCTAATCCATTGAATCCACCTGATCTCCCTCGAATGAGGGAGATTGAGTGGATTCAAGGAATCCACCAGATCTCCAAATCCTCCATAGCCCGAGCCGTGAGAGTGACGGCGCAGAGCGGCAAGACGGCGAAGACGAGGCGGAACAGCGGTACCTGAACTCTGAGTCTGAGATCTATGGTGTTTCAATGTTTAGAACTGCACCATGCCTTAATCAAGATATGAGAGTGGTTGTTTGGTAAATAAATATATCTTTCACAATATGAAATACAAATCTGTGAGGAAAACTCAAGTCACTGTCTAATGAAAAGTGAAATGTTTCAAGAGAACAGGAGCGTATACGAAAAAAGGTTCTTTAACTACATCAGTTAATCAATATTGAATTTCAAGCATCATGTATCAAAAAAAAAAAAAACTTGGTACCTACAGGCACATCTCGAACTTTTAAGCCAAACTCAGCCTTGTTAATCACTACATTGTCTTAGTTTGTCAAAAAATCTAACTTATTGCTTTTTCATCCACTTGACATAATAATTTTATTCGATTTTGCTGAGAATCAGGCCTAGCAAGTTTATTCGAGTTGCAAGTTAGTTAGTCTGAATAGTTCAGGCTAACTTGTCGCTTGAAACGAAAACCCGAGGTAGGTGTTCTAGGCAACAGGTGATACTGGGATGTTAAAAATTAACATTTCCTCCGTTCGCAGTGCAGCGTTGCCAGAAAACGTCCTCCGGCTAAAAGATGTTGATTTTTTGTTTCAAATCCCTCACAAACAATAAACCGATAAATCTGCCGTTTCAAGCAAACAAAGACAAGACAAATGCAAAGTAGCACAGATCCCAGAGTTTAACTAGCCCTTTTTGGGATAAATTGCTATATCCATTCATCAGAGGCCTGGCGGTACACAGGATAGCAGAGTCACTCATGACATCGGCGACATTCACGGCATCGGCGACATTCACGGCATCGGTGGCATTCACGACATCGGTGTCATACATACATGAAGTTGGTGTCATTCATGATACCGGTAGCTTCCATGATTGTTTAATTATCCATTTTACCAAATATTGCTTCTAGCAAACGCGCATTTCACAATGCACTTGATTATATATAGAACTGCGCGAGTGGCATGCGAATGGATGATAAATACTTATACGTTTGCTTCGTTAAATCTAGTTGTGGTTGCTGGAGGGAATTGCATAGCAGTAGCCCGGATAGGTGATAAATGAAATAAGTAAAGTAAATTGATAAAATTTAATAAAGGTATTAAAAAAATTATAAATTAGAAATTGCCGATAGAAATCCAATAAAAAATGTGTCACAGTAATCAAAATACAATTTTGTGGTCATAAATTGATTTTGTTTAGGCCAAAATTATTGCGTACCTGTGGTTTTATTAAAAAACGTTATTGCTTATTTAGTTTCACAAAGGTACAGATGCGCCCTCCAATCGAAGTTGAAATTGGAAGTATTCCTGAATCCTGTTTTTTTTTTTTAAGTTTAGGCTCCGTTATTGATGAACAAATGAATCGAGACTTTTCTAAACTTGCAAAGTAAATCACAATAACACTTTAAGTATTTAAGTAGTATTAAACTAAAACAATGAGCAAGTCAATGAATTTATACAACATACTCTAAACGACTATTTGAATATTATAATTTGTTATAACACAAGGCATCCCACCGCGCATTCATCACACCCTACGCCTTCGGTATTTTCCCATCCCCTTAATTACATTGAAAAAATTATTATATAAATTATGACTAGGAAAATTTTCAGTATACTATAGTCTGGACTAGCAGCATAATTTTAAAAACAGTTCATTGGTTTAAAAAATGAATAATAATTTAATTAATTTACATTTTAAAGCTGATTAACAAAATCTGACGGTTTCATGTTAAAGACAGCCAATTACTTCTATCGTTTATACCTTTACGATTTCGTGAAGTTTGAAGCTGCTTGCCTGGTTGAGGGGGCCTAATAATACTGTTTGTTGCAAAAATTAATCATGCACATAAATTTTTATATCTAGTTTATAAATTGTTTTTTTTCGCGTAAATTATAATCAGAACAAATATTATGCATTCTACGTGAGACTTCTACAATTTTTCTACCATTTAATTACTTGATTCAGTTTAGCAATGTGTTACACGGAAATGTCAGCAGTACTGTGGTGTGACAATATCAAGACCTGACCCCTGCTACGGAAAATGTTTCTTCATTTTATAACATATCAGATCACATGAATTTTCGAACTAACGAGATTCATCCCACATAGCAAATCTGATCCACCAGAGTAGTTCGATCGTTAAAACCTGAAACCTTATTCACATTGTATGAACTTTGAAAATCAAAATATTTTAAAATGTAGCCTTCTATTAAAATACGGCAGCTGCGATTTTATATATTACAAATATTTTTTTTATTGGAATTCAGTTCATAAGTTTGCACGATATTCTTGTACTTGCACTCAGGTAAAGGCAAAGCAAACCTTTTATTTCAAATGCTGTGCATCGTTTTGCACAATATTCTTATGCTAAATACCCGTCATTTACCTCCATTGAAGTCACTATATATAGGAACTTAATTAGTTGAAATTTCACATATATCTAAAATTTCGATAATTAAAGAAAATTCTCTCGTCAAAGCCAGTCATGTAACCCTAATTCCCATGCATTGTAACCATAATTCTCATGAATAATTATTGTCCGTCATATACGAGAACGATCAAATATTTCACTCTAGCTACAATCAGTCACTTAGAACAGTTGTTGGCTTACAATATCTACAAATATGTGTCTAATTTGCAATCGATAACATGTCCCAGTAAACAATTATAATCGAAATTATTTCAATTAATCAATTGGATTAATTTGAGGTGTCCATCCAATGGGTGCGCTCTAATACGATACACGACTTGCACTGTCGTGTACTGCACGACGGCAAGACAATCGTTTCTTATTTTTCAATACGCCTGTAGAGTTTTTCAAGCTAGAAAACAGAAAAGTGAATATGGTGATAATGATAATAATAAATTATTCTCATTTCACATTATTTCTGATTATTTGCACGTGGAAACACAAATGAGCTCATTAATGCAAAAGAATTTTTATACAACCAAACTGCATGAATTTTTATATGAGGTCCGAAATTTCTACTTAATTCATTGTTCACTAACATGAATTCTCATTAACAATTCATGAATACTCGTAGAAAACGATCAGCATTCATGAACGTTTTATATGTGTCGCCCACGGGATAATACATTATCTACCACCAGCATTCTCTATTTATTCCAGCCTTCATATACGAATTTATAAAAATAAATTGGTAATATAATGATTTATAGAAATTTTATAGATACCGGTACAATTTTATGAGCAATTACAAGATATGTAATGCTGATCCCACCTCGATTAAGAACTTTAGTTTCGAATGATAAAGCTGAGCACTTCAATTACAATCGTGATACCCCAATCCAGTAAGTGAAAATCAGATTGTACGATAAATATAATTAAATGGGGAAAATAAAACCTTTTGGGAACAATAATTTTATTGAAATTCTTTATCACTTGGGATAGGTTTCTTATATAATTTGTTTGTGGATGCGTCCAATGAAGTTTTCATGATTTCTGGAGGGAGAGGTTCGATGCAGTGGTCTCTGGCGCTACGTTGGCTGTTCCTCTACCCTAAAAAACACATCATATAGTCATTTAAGTGATATAGAACTGATAAAAATATTTCATTAGGCAAGAACATAGTACCAATATTGACCATGCAGAACAAGTAAGATGATGGTTACCGTGATGATGGAATCCGCCTCCGAATCCACGTCCTCCGTATCCACCACCAAGTCCACGACCGCCAAATCCGCCTCCATGTCCAAATCCTCCATTTCCAAATCCACCGTGACCAAAGCCACCGTGTCCAAATCCACCGTTACCAAAACCACCTCCATGTCCAAATCCTCCTCCGTGTCCAAATCCACCTCCGTGTCCCCCAAATCCACCTCCGTGTCCCCCAAATCCACCTCCAAATCCGTGATCGGCGCTCACGAGGGCGATGCAGCAGAAGAGGGCAAGGGTGAGAGCGAAGCGGAACTGTACACATGGAAATAAAAACATTATTTCCAAGCTCGAGAAAACTCATACTCAACTCGCTTGTCAATTTGATAAATAAGATCTATGCATAGGGATTTGAATTAACATTTTTGCGATCGTTATTCTAAAACCCGGTTTCTGTTTTTCAAACATTTCCCCGCAGACGCCGTTCTCTACTTGCATTAATTATCGACTTGAAGTAGATGTGCTCTACAGCAGTCCAGCAATTAAGCGTCATGATTTGAAAAAATTCTTCTAATCTCTCTATTCCATTATTGTTTTCGATAGAATTATAAATATCCATTATATGAACACTGTATGATGATCATGTACTACTTTATTGTGTCCATGAAGATTGTTCATGAAGATAAATGAGATGATGTATGAAGGATTATAAAATTCTCTGTTACCACAGAATATGGTTACTGGATGAGGCGGTGACTCAACTAAAGCTCAGCATCAAGACGTCGCTTAATTTTGATGATCGATTATATAATGATTGATTGTCGCACTTAAAAAATTAAATTTAAATTTAATTAATTTTACGTATAAAATGATTTATTGTATTTGTGATTATTATATCAGTCATTAGTCTTTTCTAACATTAACGGACTCACCATGTTGACTGGATGAGGCGGTAACTCAACTGAAGCTCAGCGTCACGACGTCGCTTATAAAGATGCTGGCGCGCTAAGATGACCTTCTACAGGAGCTTCAGGCCCTTCCCATGAGCCTTCCCATTCAGAGCGTGACTTCGTCGGTAATTAACATTCGGTAGGAACACACACCTTAACCTTATTCATAGTAAATGAATTCAAGTACTATCCTTTATACCAAGTAAAATTAGCAAATAAAATTATTATGCACAATGCTAATAGAACATCCACAGAATTCGGTTAACCTCAAGAGGTGCCTCAAGAAAACAATAATTTATGTCTGCGTTTTTTCCAGAAAATATTCTTGCTGGTCAAATCATATTACGCATCATGGTCGTGAGCAAACATTTAAATGTGTACAAGTAAAAGTATAATTATTAATTAGCATATTAATTAGCATAATCTGATATCCAGCGTTGTCCCGCACAGCGGCCGGGTTTCAACATGAGACCCTGAACAGCGGACCTTCATCCTCCAAAGAATTAAGGTAGGGAAATTACAAAGCAAATTGTATGGTCAGTCTTGACGTAGCTTATAATAGAGCCATGAATACTTATCTACATATAATATTTTGGTACTTGAGGTGAAACGATGAATATGAATGAAGAACCTACCAGCTGGCCATGAAAAGATTATTTCCGTGTTCATGTGCCCGTATAATAGTAATTCGTACAAATACATTTCGTTTTTTCTGCCATTATCCATTCAATAGAGAAATATTTTCCAGCCCTGAATGAATTTAATGTAGTATCACGGAAGAGGACGAACACTCACATGAGAACATTTAGCTTAATTCTGTTGATTAAACACTTGGCAAGTTAGATCATTAAAATGTGTCTCCAAATCCCTTAATAGTACATTATTTTAATCTATGCAGGTGAAATACTTTAACATGTAATTCGAGATGTTTCCATTTTTGAGGCACCTTTTCTCATGCTTAATGAAAAAGTTTCTGCTGCTTCAAGCATCAAAATGCAGTAAAAGTTTCAAGCTAACAGCTTCCTTATTCACAAGGCTGACTTAAAGTTTTCTTCGTATATACAGGGTGACACAAAAAAAACAGAGCTCATAAAAAGTTGAATAATTTCCACAATACTCAAGTAATCCTGTTATTTGTTTCAGATTCATTAAGAAGACGGATTGATCTAAGAGTCTACCACGTGTGATAGATTTTGCAGATGTTGGCTACATAGGTTGTACATAATTCCATAGAATTTTTGTTTCAAACTGAATAAAATTTCAGGAGTTATAAGACTTTTAGTGAGCTCTGTTTTTTTTGTGTCACCCTGTATTTTACGCAGCTTCACTTCAGAGCTTCCACTATTTTTCCCTCCTGCCAATAACATATAAAAAGAATTATGTATATAAACTAACAAAAAATAAGTTAAAATCAACTCTTTTACCGATGTAAATTCGGAGCAAATCTTCAATTTATTAGATGACTTAAGCAATATTAATATAAATACTTCTGATTACGTAACCATATTTCATTCGTTCTCTTCTGACACGGAGTTGAGCTTCAATCGTTTCCAACGTTTTAAATTTTCATGTTCACTCCGTTCCTGATCCAATTGATCATTTAAGATTCAGTAAGTTTTTTTTTTCAAACCCTCTGTTATTCATGGACACTGGAAAAATATTGAAATCTTCATCCCGATCTCCCGAATTTCCCAGGTATTAAAAAGAGAATCCTCCTTCATCCGAGACTAAAAACAATTTAAATATCTAGAAGCTTGCGGGAATAAAGCTGAATAAATGTCTGTTTCAAATTTTGTACCCACTTAAGAATATTATGGAATTATTAAGCCGCTATTCCTGCATTTAGAAGAATCGACTGAAACTAAATACCAATGGAATTTTTTTTGGTATCATTATAGTACACAGTACGTGGTTTATGTATGGTTGAACTCCGGCTTCCTGCTCCTCTGGCACCTCTGTGAACCGAATGCATCATTACTTTGGTTTGTTTCGAAATCTTGGGCTGGAATACCACGACGAGCCACGAAGAAGCAACCCGGTCAGCCAATAACCTAGCTACTGTTTTTCAAGCCAAACCAATTAATTTCAAGCTCATACAAGAAATATACCACTACGTATATACTGGCCGCTACGAATGCTACCCGCTACGTACGTGTATGTTGGCCGCTACGCGTACATTGGTCGCTATATACGTGTCCACTGGCCCTTCGCGTAAATTGGCATCTACGTTTTCATTGGCCGCTACGTCTTTATTGGCCGCTACGTGTAAATTGGCCGCTGCGCCTAAATTAGCCGCATCGTATACATTGGCTGATACGTGTCTGTATACTGGCCGCTACGCGAACATTGGCCGCTACGTGCATATGCTTCGCATATATTAAAAAAAGGGTCATTCATCAATTCTAGTTCTTTTTAAACACTCGATCACCTATAATTAAGTTATGTGAAACTTCATAATCCATAGTTTAGTGAGCTCGACAAGGGTTCAAAATGCTATTAGTAGACGAGCCACGTGAGTTTAATGATGGTTGTTAATCACAAATGTCTACTCGGCCAATGCAGAATTCGTAAAATGTTACGAAAAGCCAAGAACAAATAACATGGCAACGAAGATTGTAGTTCACCGGAGGAAAGTCACAGAGCTTGATTGGATTATGAAACGCCGTACCATAGGTCACATTGACTAGGCTTTTCAATAGCGATTGGAAGATACGAGGACACAGGGTGATTCACGGAAACTTTCCTGATTTAAAAGCTCAATAAAAAAAATAGTAAAGATTGATTTGAATTAATTGAAAAACTAGTAAATTAAATAGAATTTCATTGAAAAAGTCACTACCTGAATTTTTGTACTATTTAGTTTTAAATATGACATCGGACAAATGACAACCCCTATTGTCAATGCATTCAGTTTGTCGATTTTTGAAGTTCGTTCAACTCGCTGAAGCATATTGACGGGTATGTTGACGATTGCTTGGCGTATATTGTTCTTCAAATGAGGTTGGGTAATTAGACAGTTGCCGGAAACAACTGATTTAAGATAACTCCATAAAAAAATTACACGTAGCCAAGTCGGGGGATCGGGCCGACCAGAGGTCACCTCTCAAGGAGATGAGGTCAATACCCGTCAATATGCTTCAGGTTGTTGAACTGAACTTCAAAATCCACTAACTGATTGCATTGACAATGGGGGCCGTCTTTTGTCAGATGTCATTTTCAAACTAAATAATACAAAAATTCAGGTAATGCTCTTTTCGATAAAATTCATAGTTTTATGATAGCTTACAATTTCTTTTTTATTGAGCTTTCAAGTCAGGAAGTTACCGTGAATCACCTTGTATTAGAGTCATCGAACTTTCACCAGAACCAGATTCCTTTCACAATTTGCACAATTTATTTGATTTCGTTATCAATTTTGCTTATATTCTACTTTCATTGTGAGTTCCCAGTTCTAATTTCTAATGTGAGCTTTCCACGTGATCTTCATTTGTATTCCAAATAAAAGTATTATCTATTTCTGGAATTTCACTACCTCAGACCTGTAAAATTTTTCTCTGAATCAATGGATCCACTCGAGCAGATTGGAAATGCGGGTATCAACAGGATTTCGATGTCGTATTTTGTTGTGTGTTTGTTTCCATTTTAAATATAGTTGCCACCGTCAATAGCAATTATTTACTGAGCCCCTTTATAAGAATGCCAGCGATCTATTAATATTATTCGTTTCAGAATGACTGAATTTCACCTATGAATACTACTGCGTGAGCTGTTTCCCGCTAAAAGATAAGAAACAACACGGCAAGATAACTATATTTCTATTCGTCGAAGAATGAATCAGCGGCGTGAAGTTTGTCAGTTTCTCTTATAAAAGAAATTTACATCCTGTGGAACACTGTCGATCAGAATAAATTTATTAACGTGGATATTTTTCATTCTGATTGCCTCCTGAAAAACACATAGTAAGAAACGATTAGTAAAACTCGTCAGCTTATTATTGACTTTTCATGAACTGCTGCTGTACTGATCCATGGTCGAATGTATCTTAAGTGATTTTATCAAGTATCTTTTAAAAAAGAATATTTGGCGGCGAATATTCAGGTTCTTATCACCGTTCACTATTATCATTATAAAGTGAAATTACTGCTAACGTTCGATGGCTATATTGTTGAACTTGGTGATAGCAATTCTTTTGAAGTCACTAATCGCTTACAATTATTCTTCATAAATTAAATAATTAATGCCAGTATCTTTGTAGCTGCACTATGTTTATCATTTTACACTCATTTCCGCCTAAATCTATGCATCAGTTTGGTCTACTGTTTTGTTACTTTTGAATCAAACTCAATCAACATCGGCGAAACTTCGACACTTTTACTAGATATTTCATTTAATTAAAAAGTCATAACAACTATACGGAAAACATAAACCCCTTGATGAAATCTCTGCAAAAAAATTTGTTCAGCTAACCGTGAACGCTCGAGAACGAAATTTTTCTAGGAACGTGCGCTCTTCTCACAAATATTTGATCAAAAGTCCTACTGAACTCGCACAGTTATAGCGAAAGTAAATATTACATAAAAATGTTTAATTCCGTATTAAAATCACTTGGCTGCTTAAGTCGCAAATTTACCAGGAATTTAAAAGCAAAGAAAACAGCCAAAAATTTCACCATTTCTTATAAGAGAAAACGTTTCGGAGTCCAGCTCCATCGTCAGTTCAAAACCTAGAACACAGGTACAAGCAATTAGTAACCTAAAATTCACATTCAAACAATTCACCTAAACTTGAGGACATTAGAACTAAAATCGAAGATAACAGAAATAGAGATGACATGTAGAGAAAGTACTATCTATTTACAATTTGTAGAGGATAGGAACTGAATGCAGCATTTAAACTGGGTTTCTTATTGAAAATATATAATGATTCTAAAATTCGTAGGTCAGAAACACCAGTTGTGGAGGCTAAAACTCTAAAATCCCTATTGGACACAGGGACGTTGCACTGCTCGGCATGAATACGTACGGCTGAATGAGGGGGATGCGCAAGTATGTTCCCTGTTCTATAACTCCTGCCCCTATGCTCTGCAAGCCTAGTATAAAAATTGCGCGATGTCATACCGACATACGCAGATGCGCACTGCGCACAACTATATTGATAAACTAGGGATGATCGCATAAGAACAGGGAGAGGATCGCATAAGAACAGGGAGAGGTCGCGGGTTATAGCGATAAAATGAGGCGGTAATTATGAGTAGTAGGTAAGATTATTCGATCGTAAAATTTAATTTTTAATTTGTTAAATTCCTAAAACTTCAAAAAATATAACTCAGTACTCACTGCAGTGTGTGAAAGAGAGCGCATTTTCTCGTCGACGAAAACTTGAGGTCACGGACAGACGGACGGACAGACGAACAGATAGACGGACGGACGGACATGGCGGGCACAATAGTGCATTTTTCCCATGAATGAGAAAATGCACTAAAAAAGGCTGATTTCATTGATCTGAAACTTGGCGTAAGATTTTTGCGTGACTCACGCATTCGTTTAGATTCACTAAAAGCTCGAGTATATAACAGTTTTATTCATTATGATTAAATGAATTCCAGCAATGCAATAAAATAACATTAAAATATCCTGGCAACGAGTAGGTGAGAAGAAGCGCTATTAGCTGATTTTCAGTTTTCATAAAAGTTGGATATATTTTTTACCTGGAACATTATTTACATAGACATTATTTACAGAAATTGTTGAGCCATTGCGACGTTGATTTTTTTATTTTTATGCTAGCTATTATCATCGCATTTTACGCGCATCATCACGACTTATCAAATATGGTCCGATATTTCACGATAATTCATTTTGATCACACCGTGGTCGATGGCTTACATTAGTAATGAATGAACTACCCATGAGCTATAGTTCTTTGACTCCAATTTTCTAACGCTCTTCAGTATAAATGAGATTATAGGATTCTTCGAAAATGTATGGGAAAATATGAAACTTTCAGAAAAATAAGTTTATTTTCATTTTAAATTAGCGAGGACGAATTTTTTTGGTGTTTCGTTTGGATGAGTTTTTTCATAAATAAAAGATTGCACGCAGGCAACCTGAGTTGCGGTCCAAGGCACCGCTGTATACAAGTCTTCGTTTATCCTGGGAAGTGAAGATAATTTATGTAAGTAACATTTTTGGAATAGTTCAAAGTCATCAATTGTATTTCAATGTAATGAATATTAATTTGCAAATATAGCGACAATGCTGTTAGAAAATTAGATTTTACTTACGGCGATGATGGAATCCTCCAAATCCTAGTCCTCCAAATCCGCCGTGTCCGAATCCACCGTGTCCAAATCCACCGTGCCCGAATCCACCGTGTCCAAATCCACCGTGTCCAAATCCACCGTGTCCAAATCCACCGTGTCCGAATCCACCGTGTCCAAATCCGCCGTGTCCGAATCCACCGTGTCCAAATCCACCGTGACCAAATCCACCATGACCAAAACCACCCCCTTGTTAGAAAATTAGATTTTACTTACGGCGATGATGGAATCCTCCAAATCCTAGTCCTCCAAATCCGCCGTGTCCGAATCCACCGTGTCCAAATCCGCCGTGTCCGAATCCACCGTGTCCAAATCCACCGTGACCAAATCCACCATGACCAAAACCACCCCCATGTCCAAATCCACCTCCGTGTCCAAATCCACCTCCGTGTCCCCCAAATCCACCTCCAAATCCGCGATCGGCGCTCGCGAGGGCGATGCAGCAGAAGAGGGCGAGAGCGAGAGCGAGGGCGAGGCGGAACTATTGGAACAACGTAAATAATATTTCTTACCTCTAATATGTTACGTAAACAGCAATGGAAAATAAATAAATAAATAAATTCATAAATTCTTTTTATACAACAATTTTCTTTGTTCCATTTGTGCATGATCATGACACAGATTTTTGCGAAATAAACTTAAATAAAATTATCATATTATATTGCGGTTTTTTGAAATTTACAAATTCGATACCATTTGTTTTCTACCCTTATTGCCTATGAAAACAATAAGAGATTTGGATCCTTTATTCTGCTGCATCCTTGGCAACCTTGGCAATTCGCCTGAATGAATTGATCGCTCCAGTAAGCATTCTTCACAGCGGCTCAACATGCCTTTAAATTTCAGAACGTCTTTCAATATCCCTCACTAGTTATTTATTATCATCTAGAGAACTTAGGATATGACTTGCATGATTTATAATAGTCTTCATAATTGTAGTGAACGATTTAAATGGTAATATACATATATGTTCATTCCTATTCATGTATAATGAGTATTATATCAGAATATAAGATTTTTCGAGCATATCTCCACTCACCATGTTGACTGAATGTAGCTGTGAAATCAACTGAAGCTCAGTAGAAATAAGCTGCTTATAAAGACGCTACAGGCGAAGATGACCTTCTATAGGAGCTCGAAGTTCTTCCGAGTTAGACTCAGCATTCCGTGCACGACTTCCTACATACTTCCTGGCAGCAGGCTCACTTTCTCCTAACCCGCCATCTCCGCTCCCTCATTTATAAAATTTAATTCGGCCGCTGCTCGTGCACAATCCTAACTAATTAGTGTTTCTGCATAATTTCTATGAGAAGACTCATGAATTTGGGTTTTGATGGCAGTTTATCAGTCCGTTTGTTAGAAAAAATTAATACCGGTCGAAAAATTGTCAGTACTCACATTAAAAGAAAACTTTTATTAAAGAAAGTTACGTGTTGGACTACAATAATCATCGCATTGGTTGCCATGCGCTTATGTCCCGCGTTGTTTCTGCACGCGTGTTGCAACATTTGACCCTGCGCAGGCTTCAAAAAAACCTGAATTCGGTGAAGAATTCTAGAGAGGAAATGACAACACATTGTCCACGCTGGCGTAACGCCGCGGGTAATGATACTAATAATGCATGACGAAGCGGATATAAAACTCCGTGCTACTTGAGGGTCAAACTAGAAAATTTTACAGGCATAGTAACTCTACTCTTCACTGCAAGAACTATTGGCCTACGATTCGTTTTGCGTGAAATAAGCTTCATTGTTATTTTCCTATAGAAAGACTTAATTACATGCATGCTGTAGGTGACTATGAAAAACACGAAGTTACATGGTTGAGTCCATAATGAATGACTGTTACGTGACGATTTAATATTCTAAAAGGGGATTAAAGAAACTGTCATTTGTATCCCGATCCTTTGTTAGCATGATACGATTCTGATTTTTGAATGGTGACACTTTAGAGCATAACTTCTGAGATTGAAACTCCTTACGCAATATTAGAACTTTTAATGTTGAGTCATAGCAGATGAGTTGTAACACATACTTTCATTCTGTCGAGGAAATTTTGTAGTTCAATTGAGGTGAGCGTAAACTTAATTGATAAACTGTAAAGTTACAACAATTTTCGACACTTTTTATTGTGTTCCAAGATTAATCACTGCTGAAATTTTCTTTAATACAAAAACTCTTTTCCATTCATTAATAGTATGTCAAATTTTGATATATTCATGTGGGTGACTCAATTAAGTAGGATCCAGCTACCGGTGAGAAATTTTAATACGGAAAATTGCCGAAGCACTTGAAATCCAAAGTGATACCTGAGATTTAAAAGCATTTTTGGGGGGACGATCTAGCCTCAGAAGCTGAGCTGCCGTGTAAGCATGCAGCTGTCAGCAGGCAACACAATGTCGTGGCGGAAAATTTGACATCCATCTGTCCGCATAGTTAATTAAGAGGAGACATCCACCTGTGCGCATAGTTAAGAGGCGACATCCACCTGCGCGCATAGTTAAGAGGCGACATCCATCTGCCCGCATAGTTAAGAAGCGACATCTATCTGCCCGCATAGTTAAGAGGCGACATCCATCTGCCCGCATTAAACATGATGAGTGCTATGACAAAGCATGATGAGTGTTATGACAAAACATGTTGACTCATTGGCAATCAAGTTTCAGGGCCAATAAAATGCTACGGGCAACAAGTGTCAAGGGCTAGCGAGTGTCATCGCTCACTGCTGGGCAATTAAGTAAAAACTAAAGGTACTCCGATTTCCAGACTGAAGTCTGAAGTCTAGGATGATGTCTAGTCTGATGAGGTTCAGAACGTTCTGACACACCAAAATCCTCGTACAAGTCTTTTTAGATATTTCAATAAAAAAACTTTTAAATCGTGCTAGCTGTACTTTCCAGTAGGTGTGTGTTGTACCTATAAGCTTGCACTTTCTTAGTCTGGTGGGTGCAGAAAGCCGTTACATGCTGGAGAATGTTTATGATTGAAAGAACGTTACTGCAATGTAAACAGAATTCAATATCAGAGTTATTCAACAACCAAATTTATAAATTTTGATTTAATAAGCCCGAATATTTTTGTCGGGAGGTTGATAGTCAGCCTGCTGTTGCCTTCATCAAAAGTCCTTTCTCTTATAATATAAAGTGCTTTTCTTTTAAAATAATGTTTTACTTCATCTGTGAGTGAAAATTGTTTTTATTTATTAATATTTATGTTCAGCATATGTTAATTTAAACATGACCAAGGTGTAAATATTTTAACCATCAACAGACAAGTTTTTTTACTTCACCCATGAAAATTTGTAGACTCACTAATAATAATTACCATAAGATAGCAGAATAAGCTTATTTAAACACGAGTGGTTAATGACCAGAGAAATCATTGATTTAAATTTTCAGGATCGAACAATATTCTTCAGTGGACGTTGGTTGATAAAAATTCAGGTTCAAGGAAGTAATTTAATTTATTAACGACGTTTCGAATGTGACATCATTCATTTTCAAGTTATAGGAAGCATTGAATACTGAAATTTTGGCGGAAATAAGTACATGATACACGTAAATATGATACAACACGAAAATTTGGAACC